CCGGGCCATGCCTGGCTGTTTGGCAAGGCACAGCCTCCCCTAACCAGCCCTCCATACAATTTCTGAAACCCGATGCAGCCCTTAGGCCAAAGATTTTGCCCGCCCCTGCTCTATCCAATCCCCTCTGTTGTCTTTGTATTTCTTTCTCTTTTTGTTTTCATCTTTTGTAGAAGAGCATCACTGATAATAGGCCCCTTATCTATGCTAACTTATCTGGTTCTATGCTAACAGAAATGCTTATTCCAAATGGAGGAAGCATAATCCAATAATAATGTCAGGCGATCTTCAAAATCAATGAGTTTGTAGAGTTAGAATGGTTGGCAACACTGCCACATAGTATTTGACTACTGCTGCTGCTTTACCATCTGTACCCCCTCTGTCAGTCCAAAGTGAGAATATATTTCCTTGACTGGAGAAAATGATGAGATGCTTTTTAAATTCCTCCCACTCCATCTAACAAACTATGACTTTATCAACTTAAATTAATGCAAATTTGAGTTAGGGGTGTAGGTATGTGTATTTATAAATATACAGGTATATTTATTGTGTTTGTGTACATTCTGAAAGCTTAATTTATTTGCAGCAGAGATATGGATAATAAGCCTGAAAAATGTGTGTATGGTGTGTAGTTAAAATGCAGTTATGTTCAGAAGAGAGATGTCTTAGTGTTCCACATTATGTTCCCTCAGTGATTTCTATATCGAATTTACATTTAAAAAGCATATGTTTTTTAAATTGCTAGTGCTGCAAGGTCAACCTATGGCTTTTTTTGTTATTTTTATTCTAGCAAGATCAGGGTAATTTGGATGGGAATTTTGATTTTTGATGGCAACGCAGCTGATTAGGAATGATGCAGTTTAGGACTGAGCTTCTCGTCTGCAGCTTGTGTGACTGGTAGCAACAATGTGATTTTATGGTGAATTAACACAAATTTGACTATTGTACTCTTGTATTATTCTCTGCTGTGGTTAAATTTCAAAGTGATTTGCAGCAGATTCTATATGTTGGCCCTTTGACAGAGGGGTGCCTTTAGTGTTCTTTGACATTTCAAAATGGAAAGTGGTGATAATGCAGTAACGGTTGGCATATACCAGTTGCTCATAAGGAGTAAGAAGGCCCAGGCCCAGTTCTTGCTCTCCCTCAATACAAGGAAAAAGATCTAGTATCATTACTGGTGACCAACTCATCAAAGGGAGTCAAAATGGGGGTGGGGTGGATGAAGAAAGGGCCATCAGAGCTGAAACATTACAGAGCTTGCTCCTTTTCAAGGGTGTTTGGCACAGCTCCCACTCCACTGGCCATCTCCCTAGGGACACTGAAGGAATTCTGATTTGCTCCCTTCATTCACCCCACCCCTGTATACAAGTTGTGGTCCAAATGCAACAGTATAGACTAGTCTTTACATTATATAGCACCTTTCATTCTGAATGGTCCCCAAACACTTCACAGCCGATACGCAAAACTGCACCACTGAAATCTAGCCACATTTGGGATGGAGGACAGCCATTAACAGATACACATCACACTGCACAACAATGATAGGGGGAGAATTTTGGTCAAGAACATTAAGGCAAATTTCTGACTTACAAAAGTAGTCAAGGGATCTTTAGTGTCACCACAGACAAGACAGTGCCTTGGATTTTAAAGCATCAGTCAAAAGACCCATAAGCAAGCAGTAAACTGCATGGTGCTCAGTGCAGCTATCTCAGAAAGATGAAGGACTGAGCAGAGCTGGCCAGAATCTTGAGGCATGTCAAACCCGAGGCTTAGTCTATTCTCCATCCTCTTAGGCTTCTGGGATACAAGTATTTTCCCTTTACTGTGTGAGATCAGGTACATTCTAAAATCTCTCAACTAATTTACGAACCTATCTAGTCCTATTTGCTTTGTAGAGAGGAGTACGAGAATAAACATTAACAAAGGGACTGTTAAGTGTGTCTGCATGTCTAATGTTGCAGGATGCAAAAGCATCTCCTAATATGGGAGATTTTAAATATTAGGAATGATTGTTGAGTATCTCTGTATTGCATTTTAATAAATACTGATGCTGTCATTTGAAGAAGACCTTTCTAAGTGAGTTTAAATAGTAAGTATATAAAAAAGATGCTGCTGCTTTGAAAAATCTAGTCTGAATGTCATTACCATGTTCATTTCAGAATGCAAAGGTTACAGTAGAAGACTAGTTTATAGTTATTAGATGAACTGGCTTTTAAGTACAACATGGTTTTTTCCCCCTCTAATGTCAGTAACTGAGGGCTCCTTGTCTGTTCCAATAAAAGTAGAAAGCACTAGTGCCACCTATTGGTGAAAATGTGGAATTGCATAAATCTTGTTAATTTGCATACCACTAAAGTGCGGTGAGGTCAGGACGGAGGGTTTAATGGGACAAATAGCTAGTAGCTGTGTTCTGTTGTTTAATTTGATTATTTCCTGTTGAGATATAATTTTTAAATAGAAACTTTTTTGCTATTGGACATTTATATTTGACTGTCAACATTAATCACCATATCACATGCAAAGCACTAGATGGACACTGCGTGCAGACAGAACTTCCTGCGATCCCTACATTACTGTTTTAAGTCAGAGTAACATGTTCACAAACACATTTTAAAAGCATCAGAGCCCTTGTCAGGTAAGAATTTTAGTCTCTGAATACAAGCAAGCCCTGATTAAGGTATTTCCAACTAACTGAAACTCCAAGTTAACTAAAGGTGGGTTATGTTAGCCCAAACCTGTGTGGGCCCAGTTCCAAAACAGAGCTGAATAAAAGAGCCTTTTGGTCTGAAGATTTCTCCTAGCTCAGTGTAATCAGGAGAGGAGACGGAAATCCCTGCCCTCCAAAACCTACCCTTCAAGCAGAGTATGCACCTCCACTACAATGATTCCTTATCAGCAAATGGTGGTTAGTGGGGAGAGACACCCAAGTATCTCCAGGTACGTCCAGTAATGCCCCCTTTCTGCTGGAGGTACATAGAGAGTGCTGAAGCAATCACTGCACATGCCCAGTGCCAAGGTTGGGGACAAACCAAGATTAAGGAGTAGTAAGTGGGGGGAGCCCCACGGCAGCTCCACTACTACAGGACTCTTGGTTGGGAATTTTGTTTTCCCTTTACATAGCAAGCCAAACTGTTTCCTTAAGAACATGGCCTTGAGACAGCCAGTTTTTATCTTCTTTTGGGGTACAGTAGAAGTCAGAGTTACGAATACCTCGGGAATGGAGGTTGTTCATAACTCTGAACAAAATGTTATAGTTCTTTCAAAAGTTTACAACTGAATACAGCTTTGAAGTGTTACTATGCAGAAGAAATGCTGCTTTCCCTTTATTTTTTTAGTAGTTTACATTTAACACAGTACTGTACTGTATTTGCTTTTTGTGTGTGTGTCTCTGTTGCTGCCTAATTGTATACTTCCAGTTCCAAATGAGGTGTGTGGTTTACTGGTCAGTTTGTAACTCTGATTGTTCATAACTCTTGAGGTTTTACTGTATATGTAAAAGAGAAGACTTGTGTATCTTGTCCTAAGAGCCAGATTCTGCCACTCATGGACATGTTAATTAATAGTTTACTTCGCAAATACCACTTTTCAAAACAATAACAGTAGTCAGACAGCAAGTTACTACTCAGCTTCAGTGAGGATGACAGAATCTGGCCCAAAGCTTTGGATGCTGCAATTATTTTCCCACTACAAAGAAGCAAAAGTTAAAAAGAGAAGGGTAGATACTTCTTACCTGGTGCTTTCTTTACACAGTATATTATCTTTTTATAGGCATGTGGTATTTAAAGTTCTAAGGAATCTGTCATTCAAGTATCACATAATAACAAGCCACATTTAGCAGGTGTATTTAATTCCATAGTAGTTGATGTCAGAGCACAAGGACACAATGAGTATTGGGTTGCTCACTATTCTTTGCCATGGAAATAAAAATAGACTAAAGTTTTGCGAAGCTAGAAACATTATTCCGTAGTGTCAATGCTGCAGTGCACAAGGAAAAGTCATATTGACTGTGACAACTATTTTTTTATATATCCTTTTTATACTTATCCACTGATATATAGTGGTGGTGATAGAAAATAAATTCTCAGGTGAAAGATTTCATGTAAATGAACATGTTGTAATGGCTTGCGAGAATTAAGGGAATCCATTAATAGAATTCATTTATATTAATACTATAGATGTTTTTAAAGGATTTTCAGGACTTTTTTGAATATATGTTTGCTTGTTTACAATATAAAGTTGAAAAGTATCAAGCCATTTTATAAATTAAAAGTAGGAGAATGAAACTAATTTTCTGGTAAAGGTAGCCTAGCAACAGCTCTTTTCTCTGACTATTTCATTACATATTCCCTATCTCACAACAACACTATATTATGCAAACATATAATATGGTTTTCACACTTTTAAATAAACCATCCCATATAAAAACTGAACAAGGGCATTTCCCCTTTCAAATATTTAACTTTTCAAAGAGGATCTTTTAATAACTTAGAATAGAGGAAATGCAATAAATAAATAAAGTAAAAGAGACTACTGTTTAAAAATCTCAACAGATCAGCTCATAAACATGCTCCATCATTTTATCTCCAAACCTTTGTTAGCCACTACTTTTTCTCTACAGTCTCCTAATCAGTCACCTTCAGAGTTCTACTTTCAGTGCTAAATCACTGCTTCCTATATTTTAACTCTAACCTGGTGCTTTGTGTTGGTAGTCACCCAGAGGTAGGCAAGTCTACTTGAACTCATGGACAGGTCATGTTTTTGTTTGAGTCTTTTATAGACCTCCCAGCCTCACCTCACCCCTTTGCTCACTTTCTATTTTCACATGCTCATCATTTATACAAAGTCATTACAATGGTTCAAAATTAAAGAAAGTCAGTTAAAGGATATAAAATCCATTAGATAATTTGAATGACCCCATCTAGTAGATGTTGGTCTTTTAGCCAGATCCCCTCTGTCATAAACAACTAAGAAGGAGGTGGCAGCAGCTGTATTTCAGGCTTACGTTTCAAGCCTGGAGCACACCATGATTTTGGGTATCTCCATTTTTGGGACACTTTAAAGGGGCCTGATTTTAGTGAACACCGACTCTCTAAAAACCATGCCCCTTTCAGGTGTCACAAGTTGGACACTCAAAAATGGAGGCATTCGAAATCATGAGTCACTTTTGAAAGTTACAGTCTTTATGGTGCTGGTCACATGTGTATTCAAACTCCTATGTTCAGGTCCTTGTGAATAAATCAGCACATAAAGACTTATACATTGAAATCAAACTCTGTTACATGTCAGCTGTCCAAGACTATCTAAGACTCTTGGTTAACCAGGCTTCAGGTAAGTAAGGTTTGACTGTATTGCGATATGGGAATATTCCAGATTACCTGTTAGTATTTAGCTACTCATTATTAGCTTTGTGAAAAATTCTGTTCTTCAGTCAGTTATCTCAGGATACTTGTAGTGGTTTAAGAATTAGTACAGTAGACTCAGTCAATGACAGTTTAACACGTTGGGTTCAGATTTTTAAAAGTGTGTACCCAGTGTGGCATGTGCATGTGCCTGTAAGCATATGCTTTGGAAGTTTTGCAAATGAAAAGTCTCAGCACAAACTTTTACAGATATGAGCCTTGTAAATTAAACCATTAACTTCAAGAGGTTAACACTCTGTAAGTACCAATTACCTTTAGGAATGAAGTATATTGTAAATGCCTCCCACGTAGTCAAATATTTCCTCCATTCTATTGCACTTTGGTATATTAAGTTAAAGTATTAGATAGGATAAAGCATCTATTAATTGTTCATAAACTATTGTGTACTGTTCAGGTTACCCACTGTTTTACCTGCCACTACTTTGAATGCGACTACAACCATGCAATGTGCTTAAAAGGAATAGCCCCATCTATAAAAAGTTCTCTCTTAGTAGTAGTGTTTAAGGGAAAACGAACATGCCATTGCACTGAAACACCATCCAAAGGTTCTAAGTTTCTAAAATATATGCTTTTCTCATCAGTCAAGACAGCGATTTACTTAATCTTTACTCCAGTTTGTAAGCCTCTGAACATTATAATCAGTAGTAATGCTTAGTAAATCCCTTGCACTGTCCCTGCATGCTTTAGTGGAAAACACAGTTAGTTTATATTTTTCCAAAGGGCCTAATAAATTTTTCATATTCTCTTCATATTCATAAATCTAATATTGAAATGTATGCTAATGGCTTCAGTAAAAAGCAGAATGTACATTCAGTGTTCAAGGCATTCGCATGCACACACTCTCAGTTCACATCCTCATTTAGAAATGATGCCTTTATCTGAGAGCACAGTTCTTGAGGAGTATATTTATCTGGTAATGTAATCATAATTTCTGAGCGTAAGTGCCATGGCTGCCTAATCCATCTATTTAATTCAATAGCACTCATCACCTAGAGTCCAAGTATTGCACAGGTAGAGTAGATCTGTATGATGATATGTATAGTCAACTTCAAGGAGGATTTTGCTCCTCACTCTTGGCCAGTTGTGTTAGGCTGTTCTTTTTGAAAAGTGTAGCTAACGTGGGAAAGGTTAGCAGATGTGTGGATCTAGCAGTGTGCTCTAGTAGCAGATTCTAGAGGTTTTTGCCAAAGGACATTGCTGCCAACCAAATAATTTCTTGATTACATTACATGGCAGAGAATCTGGACTGGTTTTATGAAATTAAGATAATGCTGCATTGGTTTGAATTTTAAGCAATTTGTTGTTTGTTTCTCTACAATTATGAGGATAATAAATAAATTCATCATAAATTAAATACTGTGGATTAGCTAGTGTATTCCCTTCCATGGAAAACCTTTTACTTCCAAAAAGGCACAGGATTTGCAGATTCTCATTCCCTCCTTGAAGCAAGAATGGCAGTCCTGATTAAGAAACTCAGCTTGCAATATCCACAAAGGCAAGAAGTCCATGGAAAACTCTGGCCCCAAATCTGTCGATCCCTCTCTAATCATGCAGAGTTGACCACAGGCTCAACCCCTGTTGGTAACATGCTGTAGTCATGTACTTTGCTGTCACTGAATCATCTGTCCCTTCCTCCATGATGGGTCAATGTAGAGTTGCCAATGTTGGTTGGATGTATTCCTGGAGATTTCATCACATGATATAATCTTTAATTAAAGATTAATCTTCAATTCCTGGAGACTCCAGGTCAATCCTGGATGGTTGGCAACCCTAGGTCAATGCCACATCCAGGTGATTTATGTTACTGGCTGCCTTACCAGGGGAGCACGCAGTCATGTTTCAGGTAACACAAAACCAGGAAATACCAAGAATCTTGTGTGAATGTTATTAATATGACCTTTTCAGCCCTGTTTTGCAGATTAAAGAGGTTCAAATAAGCATACTTTTTCAATGCTGAACTAAAGGGAGCCTCTGTACTTTTGTCACCTGGCCAGCAGCAAATAAGAGGTTATTATTATGCAAACAATGGTGTCTTATTTTGTTAATGTTGCAAATGAAAGATACACTGTGTATAATGTAATTAAGATGCCTACTTTGAAAAACAAGGAGGGGTGTCCTCTCTGATTGGAAGTGGGATCACTTGAGGGTAATGAAGTTAAATTTTTATTATCCTTCTGCAAGTTTTGATGGAAAGACTTGCATACAGCACTCAGTACTTGTGTTTCTCTCCATCTGTATAACCATTAATGGGCTTTTTCTGTAGAGAACAAAGTGAAATCTGTGTGGTTTTATCTCCTATTCTAAATTGGGAACAAATTTGCAAGTAGGACCACTTTCTTCATCTCCATTTTCCATGTATCGATTCTGAAAACTAAGTGACAAGGTGACCCCTGTTTGAAAGATAAGAATAGTACAATCCATTTCTTTTAGCTGTCTTTCCAAATGGCAGACAGTGAACAAGTTATCCTGATGTTTTCAGGAATAAAGGGGCTCTTCCAGAGTTTATAGAAATACTCTACATTGCATTGTTGAAACTGTTTGTCAGTGACCTTTACTGGCAAAATAAATCTGTGCAAATAACTCATTATTTCAGCAGCAGATGTCCATAGCTTTACAAATTAAGGCCATTTCTGTAGGGAATCCCTGGATTCAGCAGTATACAATGAGCAGCTAAAAATAATCTGTAAGGCGTTGGAAAATTATCCCTTATGAACTGCAGTGGTTGTGAAAGATAATTTGTGGTTCTCACAGAATACTCAGCAAATTGTGTCTTTCATCTGAATTTTATTTTTACAGATAAACATTACATTTTTCATATTACAAAATTGTAAGTTTGCATTTGTTAATTTAAAAGATTGGCTCTATATTTTTCTCTGTTGAGAGTCTGTTGACATTTAAAATGTTAGTAAACATTATCATCTTAAATGGCTGTTTGTGGCAACCGTGGGCTGAATTTATAAATGTATTCAATTTTATCAAAGCATAATGTGATGTTTCTGCATTTTTTGAAGATACAGCATGTTAGAATGTATATGACATGTTTAGTATGGGTTGGCCTACTCCAGTCATACAAAGAAATGCATTATTGGAAGTAAGAAGGAGTCTGGTGGCACCTTAAAGACTAACAGATTTATTTGGGCATAAGCTTTCGTGAGTAAAAACC